CCCCCCAAGCCCCGCCCCCGCCGCCATCGCAGCCGTCACGGCAGCCCTGCTCATCCAGCTGGGGCTGCTCTTCAGGGCCATGCACAGCACGTACATCGATGAGCAAGGGCACGAGCAGCCTGTTGAGGTTCTCTTCCTCCTTCAGGTAGGTGTGTGCTGCCTGGGCTGCTGGTGGCAGAGCCCTTTGTGTCGTGTCAGTGCAGCTGCTCTGGCAGGCAGGGTGTGGGCAGGCTGCAGGGGTTTTACCAGCTTCACACAGCTCATGAAGTTTAGGAAACTGCCCTTGCAGAATGCTTAAAAAAAATACAGGAGTTCTCTCACAGCACTTCATTCCACTCTCCCATTCTTTGTATTTCTGTCCCCAGGCTGCTTTCACTCAGCAGATCTGATCTTTATGGATGTGAATGACTTCACATTCTACTGACCATCTACTCTAGTAACTTTCAGGAAGCAGTCTACAATCCTTGAGGTATCCTCACAGAGATGTTAAAGCAGGACCCTACTACCCTGGAATTCAGATACCTCAGTATTTTCTCTCACATGAGCAAAGGGGGTGACATTGATTCTCTCCAGCATTTGAGCCGTTTGCATTTCAATCCCCTCATCCCTTTCTGCAGTGTGGCAGGGAGATAAGTAGTAAATGCTTTATCTTTCCCTCATCCTAGACAACAGATGTTTCAGCCTTGGACTCTTAATAGAGGGCTCTCAGTTAGGGAATGTTTGCCCATGTTTGAGCAGTGCTGGAATTTAACTCCAAAAAGAGCTGCTCAAACTGTACCATGTCAGCAAAGCCTGAAGTTGCACCAGATTGTAGTCTCTTCATTTGACAGTTTGTTTGGAGATCATCTGCATTAATGATTTTTTTTTATTAAAAAAACAAACAACAAAAAAACAAACAAGCATAAATCCAGTTTGAAATACAAACATTCAGAGAGAGATGGGTGTGTAAAATACTCCACAGATTAGCAAGGCTTGTGAGGAAATACATGTCTGGAGATCTCTGTGCTTAACTCTGAGATTCACTCAGGAATGGACCATCACTGAGCTGGATGGAGGATGGGGCTGTGGTCTTGTTTCTGGGGCCACTCACTCAGTTCTGCTCAGCTGGTGTGCTGCAGTGCCACCTGCCTCCCTGGCGTTTCATTCTCCAACTTTTTAACTAAGGTATTATTTTCTTTGTTTGCAGCACCTTTTCTTGGCTTTCCCTAGGATTGTCTTCATGCTTGGTTTTGTTATTCTTCTCACCCTGGTGCTGGGTTCATACTGCTGCTTCTATCTCTACTTGGCCTTAACCAACCAAACTTCCAATGAATGGTGTAAGTCCAGAAGATATGGGTGGTCCCACCATCTAACACTGCAGCCTCATGACAGACAAGTTGTCTACAAAAACATTTATTCTAAAGGAGTCTGGAAGAATTTACAGGAACTGTTTAAGCCTCCTACAGTGTTGGAAAGGAAGAAGAAGACATGAAGATACTATTTTTATGTGCATTTTTAGACTTTTTGGACTTTATTTCAGCAGAATGCTTTGAAGCCTCAGACACCTCTTGTATTAAGATTACTGTTTTCCAGTTAAATAATTGAAAACTATGTTTTCATAAAGCCACTCTTCAAAAAAAAAAAAAAAAAGTCATCAGTAACACTCCTTGTGGGGGTTGTGAGAGGGGCCTGTCAGGCTTTTTGGACATGGTATCAAGACTGAAGGAAGGTGGATGAGGGATCAGTTCAAGGCTCTCCAAAGCAGAGAGGTACCAGCTGCTCTTAGAGACTTGGGCTTGGTTTGGGAGAACAGGGTGTTTGACTGGCCCAAGGGTTTCTACAGCTTGGTGTTCTGTGGCCCTGTGCCCTTGTGAAGAATTCTCAGGAGTGGTAACAGAACAGAAATTGGAAAAATATAGTAAGAGCTTTAAATAACTTTATTTTTTTAAATGTATTTATTTACATGCTGAATCTGTACAATATGTAATAAAAATTCATATATGTTTTTTAAAAAAATCCTATACAATATGGCTTTACATCCCGACAGAGCCACTCCCAGAGCAGCCTGCCTGGCATCGCCAGCTGCAGCGACCTGTCCTGCCAGACCAGGACATAAGGCTACTTGTCCAGGATAGAAAATAAAATACAAATACTGCAGTACCATGCCTTGGGAGGGCTAAAGCAGTGAGGTTAAAGGCATGAAAGTTTCTGAGTGGTGGTGTATGCACACCACAACTCCTTAGGTTTGGTTTTCTTGATTTGTTTTAAGTGCATACGGTTAAGTCATCTCCTAGGAGACCCTACAGATCTGTTCACCATCTGAATCCCTTTCCACAGCAGAAGGCTGCTGTCCTGTGCTCGGAAGTGCTTCACCAAGGAACCTCCTTTCTTTGAGGCAGCTGCCCAAGCCACCGAGAGCCTCAGATGCAGCGGGTCAGTCACTGCCACAGAGGTTTTTAACTACTGTTATTTCCATGTTAAGCAGCAAACACCTCAGGGCTGTGCCACCCTGTTAAACCAGGTACCTCTCAAAGTGTTCTTGCCCTCGCTCTCTGAACAATGATAATGGCAAACTCAGGACTGATCAAATTCCCCAAAGTGGAGAAAAAAAGAGTAGGTTTTAGATGAGCAGCAGTTGCTGGCTGCACGCTGAGCACTACACAATCACTGTCTGCACTTCCACCTCCCCCTCCTGGGTGGCAATCACAAAGTCTCCATGCTCCATGATTTCAATGTCCTCAGATGCCACCATGGTCACTGTGGCTTCCTCTGTCTGGATGCTGCCCTCGGTGGCCAGCACAGCTCCCTCTCCGATGGCAGAAGCCAATGTCATGGCCACCTGCTCCGTCAGGCTCTCGGGGGTGGCGATGGTGATGGTGTCTGCAGTGTCTGAGGTCACTTCAGAGTTCTCTGCCACGGTGACGTTCTGTACAATGATCTGGTGACCAGAGTTTGCCTGATTGACTATTTGTTGCACAACCTTCATGATGTGGCTGTCGACCTACAGGAAGAGAAGAGGCCAGGTTATTTCTCAGTGTGTTGTGCTGTTAGAAGTACAGGCAGTTGTCACTGCCACAAACGAGGCCTGATGACCAGCAGGGCAGTATGACAGGCAGCACTGCATTCCACCTTCCTCCAGCTGAAGTTCTCATCAGCCTAAGAACAGACAACTCCTGCAACATGTCACACATTGTCTTGCTGAAGATGCTTCACCAGCAGGGAACTGCCTACAGAAAGTCTACTGTTAATGGAAAAGCCCTACCAGTGCATGCCCAGACATTTACACGGACTGACTGCAAGTCAGGAGCCCAGCCAGCCTCTGAGTCTGCAGCACCCATCGTTGCCAGCACTCAAGAATGCCTCAGAAGACCATCTCCCCAAGGCTGATGTGTCAACCATACGATTCTACTCAGCTGCTGTGCTCCTGTGGGTGAAGCCCTGCAGGTCACTGGCCACCATTGCAGAGAGGATCTGGGGTTAACTGAGCTCAAACCCAGTATGACCAGTATGATTTTTTTATACAGACAGGTCTGCAAAACTACAGAGGTATGGAAAATTAATTATTGGAAGTTGGGTTTATTTAGTGTGACTTTCAGAGACTAAAAGTGATTTGTTTAACCTACAAGTCACCAAAATCATTGTTCATGTGGCAGCTTTACCTCATGTCTTGTTCCCTCGATTATTTCAGTAGCTTCGCTGGTCTCCATGTCTTCAGTGGCAGTCTTGAAAGACAAAATATGAAATTCCCTCTTTAGATTATTACAAAAAATATTTTATTGCCAAGATATAAGAGACTAAGATCTTTCTGTTCCTCCCCCAATGCAGCAGCTACTCTAAAGACAACTCTTTCTTGTAATTCCCCCCAAATCCCATTATTGAGAGCTAATTAGAAGTAACGCAGAGTGTTCACAAATAACTGACAGAGAACAAACCCTCTCAGCAGGACTTGGCCAACTGGCAGATTTTGTCCTATTGGAGAAAAACTGTAGCAGAACTAAAGGGACTCAGTAAACCAAGGGAGTTGCTGTGCAAGGAGCAGCCCTGGCTCTTGGTGACAAAGGGGGAGAAAGTGAAGTGTGTCATTCCTTGCCCATGGCAGCCATGGCTTGTTAAAACCACAGGGATTATTTTGCACAAAATAAGCTAAATAGAAATGGGAGAAAATAGCAGGTGAAAGTTGAGGGAAAGCTGAAGTCAGCTTGTACAGACACAAAACGTGGTATGGTCAGAAGATCTGAGTCCTAGCATTCTCATTCTCCTGCCTAGGTTACATGCAGGACTTCAGACAGGTGGTGAAGGAGGCTTCTGGTGCTCTCCTTCTCAACAAGATCAATCCTACTTATCCCTAAGGTCCTGCAGGCAAGGGTGGCACTGCCAGATCCTACTTTTATCTTCTCCCAAAAACCTAGATGAGGAACATGCACAGCTGCAGCTTTCATTGGTAAAAGCACTGTGCCAGGCTCTGAATGAGGCTGCCTGTTGCTTCTCACCTCGATGATGTAGTCCTGAGTGTCTGCCACCACTGAGGAAAACTCCACCAGAACTGTGTGAGGATCTTCAGAGATGACTGTTGCAGCTAAGTTGTCAGCTGACTGACTCTCCTCAGATACCATTGCTTCTTCCACCTCCTTCAAAGCAAGGAGGCAGCCACCTGGATGGTGTTCCAAAAATGCCAGAAAAATGTTATTTTTCGTAACCATCTCAAATACAGGAGAATGCCTGGAAAATACTGTGCAGCACAAATGAGACCCCTCTGACAGGATGCCAAGTGACCAGCAGCCAGACAACAGCCCCTCATCCCATCAAGACAGGCCAAATACTGGATTAAATGAGAACAGAACTGAGCCTCCAGCAGAGCAGCTGTCCAATGTTAAAATACACAACTAAAGGCAGACAGGAATGCAGAAGCCATATGTGCAGAATGTACAGTAAGACTTTTGGTATACTTTGTCATAGATCTTTTCTGCTTAGGCATTACATGTCAGTATCTACCCAAGGAAAGCATTTTTTTCCTCCACTAAACTTGAATTGTCCTTTACAATCTCAACACATTATCATCACTACCTAAAGAAGTCTGAAAATCCATGCTTAGGAGCTAAGGGATGAGCAGGTGCAGGGCAACTAATCCAATCAAACAAGATTATATGTGAGAACTCTCTCTACTTAAGACATTTTCCCTGCAGAATGTCCACATCCTTGTTTTTACAGGACTTCATGTGCCCAGGTCTGGAGCAGAGCACCCGCAACGCTCCTGCAGTTAGATTCTTAATGCAAATTGTATTTTGTTTCTCTTTGTTTAGATGATCTAGATTTTATATTAGAACAGGTTTATGGCTGCTTGTTCAGCATTCGTTTTGGTCAGAAAGGTCACAACAGAAATATCCATTAATGTAGATTAAAAAAATGTATCATGCATCTCCTCCTGATGCAGATGAACAGCCTTGGCTGAAGGTCGTGAGATCCGCTTGGAGGAGTCATGATCGTTCAGCAGCTTATCCAAACCCAATCCAGGCCACCCCAGACCCACACCCCGCCAGGCAGGGCAGCTCTGCCAGCTCACCTTTGGTTTTTAAGTGCCTGTTGAGAGTGCCGTGCTCGGCAAAGCCCCGCCCGCACTTGTAGCACTTGAAGGGCTTCTCCCCCGTGTGGTGGCGAATGTGGCGCACCAGGGAGCCCTTCTCCCGGAAGCCCCGGCTGCAGAACTGGCACACGAAGGGCTTGTCCTCCAGGTGCGTTCGGAAATGAACCTGCTGGGCGTTCTGGGCAAGGAGACAGGCAGGAGAAAGGGAAGGACAAACTCAGGCAGGCAGTATTTTAGCTTCCAGGGTAAAAGTTAACATCTCTGAGGACTTCTTCTCACGTAAGACGTAAGAAATACTTGGCATTATTATTATTTTTTATATTATTGTTGTTGTTATTATTATTACTATTATTACTAATTATTATTTTTTTCACACATGGAGGAAGTTTCCCCACAAACATGAAAGTTTTCTTACACCTGTCCCTCTTTTCCCCACTGGAACAAAAGCTCCTTCTGCAGCTTCTGCACCTCCAAGAGGCAGATGAGCTGGCATTTGTTGTTTCCAGGAGCAAATCCCAACTTCTCCCAAGGCCTGGCTCTGGAAAGGAGCCTGCAGGGAGGCCTGCTGGGAGGGAGCCCACCTTTGTCTTGTACCGCTTGCCACACTTGGGGCAGGAGTAGGGCCGCTCGTCCGAGTGCACTCGCTGGTGCCCCTTCACGTGGGCAATGGTCTTGTAGAGCTTCCCACACTCCCCGCAGCGGAAGCGCCGCTCGTTCACGTGCACCTCTTGATGCTTTTTCAGCAGGTAGCCCTTGGTGAACTCTTTGCCACACTCCTCACACTTGAAAGGCTTGTAATCTAAAGAGAGAGAGAGAGACGCGTGGCTGATACAGGACAACCAGCAGGAACAAGTATCTGGTCCATGCTGTTAACAAAATTCTTACCAAAAATTTAACCCAGAAAAGGAAGGAAATTCTGTTTTCCACTGCATGTATGAGCTTTGTCTCATTTATAAGTGAATTCTGCTCAGATGTTGCTTTTACAGCCTTTGGTGCCTTTCAAGCAGTTCCAACTTGGAACTGGAAAACTCTCCTGGCTAACAGCCATGTAAAGGTGAGGAACCGGAAGCACAGCAGCTGTACCACGTCTGAGATCAATCAAGACACGGCACGTTCTAGGTGACAGCATAAGCAGCAGAGCTTTACCTATGTGCCCTTTGATGTGTGTTTCGAGGGAAGCAGCTTCACTGAAGGCTTCATCACAGTGAGGGCAAACGTAACTTTTGTACCCATTTGTTCGTTCTGCACCCGTCTGTTGGAAAGAAAGAGGTACAACCTCAGTGTTTGCACTAGTGTGTACAGTGAGTGCTGCTAACCAAATTACTCATCAAATACTCCAGCTTTAACATGAAAGACATTTATATTTTTAACAGGAGAGAGAGCACACGTGTGCACTGACACTAGACTTAAAGCACATGTGAAAAGCATAACTATAAAAACTGACACAAAGACCCAGGCAGAGGGAGAGAAGTGCTGAGGGAAATGTGGGGCAGCGAGGCCAACACTGCTGTCCACAACCACATGCAGGCAAGGAGAGTTAAAAACTGAATCTCTTTATGGAATACAAACATACAGACTCTGCTTGTTCTACTTCAACACACTGTTCCCCACTTGGCTCCTCTTCTGCTTCCACCACTTGGTTCTCTAGCTCTTCTGTGGCAGCTACAGCAGGTTGGTCAGGCTTCTGGATCTCCTCCACAGCCACCCTCTCAATGACAATCCCCGAGTTCCTCATGGCCTGGCGCAGCAGGTTCTCACTGCTCACCTCCCCCTCGCAGGGCAGCTCCTCGGGCTGCGACTGAAGGAACAAACAGACTGGTCACTGGAACAGCACAGACATGCTTGGCCCTTTTTTTAAAGCACATCACTACAGTGGTCATTTCCTTGGGTGTCTGATGCTGTGATGTAGGTTGGAAGATCCACAAGGGGAAGGTCTTGGAGTGGGCAGGAAGGTGAGGTGGTTCTGTGCTCTGCAAACATGCAGCCCCAGGGATGAGGCCTTTGCTCCTATCACAGTCTCACCACAGGGAATGGTCAACAAAAACACCCCCTCACTGTGTCTATCATCCAGCATGTGGTGGGGAACCCTGCACCTCCCTGGCTGCTCTACACGTGCTGCTGAGCCCCCAGGCAGCTGGAAAAGGGCAGAGCACAGTTTGCCTTCTGTGTTCTCAGGTGGAGCAGAAGCTAATTACCCCTTTACTTCCACCACACAGGCTAATTCTCAGCACCCAAGGATGTTCTGTTCATGAGGTGAAATACTTCACAGTGCTTCCCTGCAGAAAACACGCCAAGGGTGTTCAAGAGAAGCAACACTCACGTCTTGGTCCAGGGATTTTGCATCCACCATGGGAAGTTCCTGCATTTGGACGTGGACTTCCCGGAGAACGTTGCCCTTTGCGTCTGTCACCAGGTGGATGACGGGCGAGGTCTCGATGGCTTCGCTGGCCATGGATGGAACAGGGTCTGTGTTGGAGCTGCAGGAGCCTGCAAGAAAAGCAGCACCATCAATCACCCAGCAGGCTGCCACCCCTGCAGACAGTGTGTCTCAGACTGAGGTTCAAGCCATCTTTGTACTGGATTCTCATTCTTTGCAGTCAACAAAGTAGTTAGTAGTTGAGCTCTATAAATTAATCTTCCTGTATAAAAGATTTAAGCTGAATATCACAGAAATATTTTTTTCATGACTGAGGAAGAATTTATCATTCATGTGCTAGGAGTGTGCTCAGTTTTATCAGACACAAGCAGGGACTGACAGTGTCACTGACCTGTTGGCAAATCATCCTTGTTGACCACTATTTCTTTGTTCATATTGAAGCAAATTTTTTCAGTGCAAGGTGTCAGAGATTTCAGGTGCCGAGTCAAAGCTCCCGACTCCCGGAAGCTTTTCCCACATTTCTTGCATCTGTAAGGTCTTTCATCTGGAAATCATGAGAATCAAAAACAAGAGTATTAAAGTAACCACAGCCAGGCAGTTAGTGACAGGCTGCTAGAAGAACACTTTCAGAGAGCAGAGGGGGCTTATCCCAGGGCCTCGTGCTGTCTCCCAGCACCCCAAACATCAGGGAGCTCCACAGATTCAGCAGCACTGAACTGCACTGGAAGGTCAGCTGGATCACCCCCCCTGCCCCCCAGCACACTCCAGCAAGGAGGAGCTCTGTCCTACCAGTGTGGCGCCGGTGGTGTCGGATCAGGGACCCTTTTGTCCTGAAGGAGGTCCCGCAGAGTTTACATTCATAGTCCTTCCTGCTGCTGTGGGTGATCATGTGAGCTTTGAGGATGCTGGCCTAGGGAAGGAATGTCATTTTAAAAGCAGTTCCAAAACGGTTGTGGCTTTTACATGTCAGCTGTAAAGAACAACAAGGCTCCTGAAAGCAGAACTTCCCTCTGGAGGCGCCACGTGCAGCAGAGCAGCACCTTGTGGTGCTGAGGGCCCTTCAGCAGCCAGCTGGAATAACCCACTCACCCAAGCACAGCAGCAGAGATACTCACTGTTTTAAAAGTCTTCTGGCACAGCTCACAGACATATCGTCCCTCTTTGTTAACCAGCAGCTTCACCTTGATCAGCTCTGTGGAAATGTCCTGCTCCTGCTCCTCAGGGTTGCCTTGCTCTTCAGTGACTTCCCCATCAACGTGACCATTGGGGTTCTCAAACACGTGTTCTCCTGCAACGATGACTTCTTTGATGTGCCCGCTGCCTGGGAGAGGACAGGATGACAGTTATGTTCTTTACAGAGGGCAGCTTTACACCTCTGGGTCCATTGACTGGTCCAGCACTTTGAGCAGCAGAAGGAAAACCAGGCCTTTCACACCTGGAGCTCTGTGCAAAGCGTAGTGATTCAGGTGGATGCTCTGGAGTGACAGCTTAAACCTCATGTGTATTCATGAGGAGAGAATTGCAGAGCCATTCTGGGGCTGCCTCTCTCACCCCTCTGAGGGGACACTTGGTCCCTGGGCCCGGTGCTCAGTGACCCTGTGGTGTGACAGGCCCAGCTCACCCCAAGCAGGGCCGGGGAGCAGGAGGTGCCTGGAGCTCACCTACGATGGCGGATGCGCCGCTGATCTCCTCTGCTATTGAAGATGCTTCAACCACGATGTGAGCAACAGTTATTGCCTCCTCCACAGCAGGCACGACCTGCCGGGACAGATGACATTTTAGCAGAAAGGTCTGATTACCTTGAAAAGCACTGTGCTGTCTCCTCTCCCCGCCAACCCAACAGACCGTAGCATCCTAATTATTTTCAGGCAGGGCTGGAGCAGAAGCCTGCTGTCACCTTTTGCACTTCTTGGCCGAGCAGCCCCGCGGGCGCGGCAGCGAGAGGAGCTTCTGGCGCTCGCTGGCACATCTTCTGCAGCTTGTGCTGCACGAACTCCTCCAGGGAGGTGAACTCCGACTGGCAGCGGCCGCACCGGTGCACGTCATCTTCGTCTGCGGTGGAAGAGGCGGCAGGTTAGGAACAAGGCACCGTCACTTCAGCCCTGAGTGTCCCGGTGAGCCCCGGGGCCGGGAGCCAAGGGCCGGTATCCTGGAGCGGAGCGGGGCGATCGCGCCCGGCCGGGCCCGGGGCTCAGACCCCGCAGCCCGGAGAAGGGTCGGGGCACCGAGACAGCCGGGACCCTTCCCCCCGGGGGACCGGGCCCCCCGCAAGG